CTTCCTGGGCCGTCCTTGGGCGATCTTGGAGGCCCCTTGGGCCGTCTTGGAACGTCGGGAAGCCGCAAGGGCGAGAACCCTGAAAGCTTTCAACAACCGTCAAAACCATAGACAAATCAATGAGTGTTGCATCTTTGGGCCCTCCTCGGAGGCCTCTTGGGGCAAGCGAGGAGCGAGGAGAGAATGAGAAGGCTTAGGATGTTCACGAGGGAGATATGGGAAGCAACGGGCGAGGCTGGCCAGCCGGAGTGACAGAACCCCGTGGGGTCTGCCACTGCATACGCCCCGAGCTACGCTCGGACTGAACAGGGCCTTGACGAACAAGTCCCTGCGTTTATAGAGCATAGAAAGAATGGCCTTCGATGCCGTGATGGCAGCGGCGCGGGGAGGGGAGGGGATGGGAGGTGGTGGGCGAGGCTGGCCAGCCGGAATGGCAGCGCCCGGTGGGGCCTTAGCCAATGCACGCGCCCAGTCCACGCTCGGACCAAGGCTGGTCCCGACCAGTCAACTGGGCAAGCGAGGCACAATGAGAGAGTGGAAAAGAAGCTGGTGGGAGGAGGTAGGAGGGGGGGAGGAGGCTGGAAGGGGGAAGGTGGGCTCTGAAAAGTCATTGCAGGAGTGGCTCCGAGAGGTCCGAATATACGGTATTTGAGCTTTCACGGCGTCGAAAACCGTTCCAGAAGCTCACAAGACCGCCCCAAAACGGCCCAAGAAGCGCCCAAGATGTCCCCACAAAGGCCCAAGAGGGCGCCAACACAGCCCAAGAGGCGCTCAAGGCGGCACAAGAGGGCCCCAAGACAACCCCAAGAGGGGGACCACAAGCCGAAAATCCAAGCCATTCGCCCCGACAATGTCCCAGGAGGCTCCAAGAAGCTCCCAAGAGGCCCCAGAGAGAATCCCCAAAGGCCCCTGGAGGCCACAAAAGGCACCTAAGAGGCGCCCACAAGGCTCCACGAGGCCCCCAAAAAGTCCAAAAGAGGCCCCCCAGAGATCCCAAAACGGCTTCCAAAAGGCTTCGAAACTGCCTCCGCGAATCTCGCGAAAAGCCAAACCCCTTCCGCCTCTTGCCCATGCTCCCTCCTCCTCCTCCTCCTCCTCCTCCTCCTCCTCCTCCTCCTCCTCCTCCTCCGCTTGTACATTATGTGCGTTCATCTGTTCGCCGGCTTCGTCTTCCCACTCGTTCGGGCCCCCTGCTCCTGCTCTACTGGCCATGGCACGGGCGCACTACTGGTGTCATTTGCATGCCTTGCATTTCAAGGTGCCCTTCTTCTCGTCACGCGCGACATTGCTCGCGTCCACGGGGAAAGCCGACTTCGGCAATTTCCTCTGGCACCTGCCACTGCGCTGAAAAGCCTGCCAACTGCGCGACGTGAGCCCGTCGGCAATGCACTCTGCGCACACAACGTTACTCTTCCTCGTGAAGTGATTGCTCTCTTGTTGGGCGCTTATGTGCTCCTGCCGAGCGAACCCTTTCTTGCACGTCGCGCACGTGAGGTCTCTCTTCAACCGTTTCGCCGCATCCGACACCTCCTTCGCCGTCCTGCCGCGTTTGCTACAGCCGCCGCAAACCACTCGTCCCCCCCTCCTCCTATGATCCCCCACCAGGCTGCTATTCAAATGGCCTGCCACCGAAAAACGCACTCCGCATCCTGGCACGCAGCACGTCAGCGGCTTCGCGTCCGCCTCTGCTTTACGCTTCCTATGATTCGACTCGCGCGTCGCCTTGTCACGTTCCTCCGCACATTTCCTAAACAGCCTCACCCCCGCTGCGCGGTGCTCCTTCCGTGCATCCGACATGTCCGCCTTCTCGTCGTACAGCGACAGGCACTTCTCGTTCAAACATCGCACATCGCACAGTGCCGACGCTGTCGCTCCACTTCGCGTTGCCGCTCCGCGAGTTCTTCTTCGCTTTGACATGGCTGCACGGGGCCCCAAACATCGCCTTTGGGGAATATCTTGAAGCATTCTTGGCACGCTCTTGGGCGCTATTCGAGCCGTCTTCGGGCTCTCTTGGGCTCGTCTTGGGGCCCTCTTGGTCCATCTTGAAGCTAGATTGCGGCCTCGGATGGCCATCAGAAGCGAAAAGGCGAGAACGCAACAATCATGTGGTTCCTCTTGGTGTTTGAAGGATGTTGGCCTCTTCGAGACCTCGCTGGGAAGCTATTTGGTTTCTTGGCGTCTCCACGGTGCCAAGCATTCGTCCAGGGGTCCGCCCGAAGCAAGCTTCCCCCGCGGGGTCACTGGGACGGGCGATGCACCGCGCAGATTGCACAACATGATCTGTCAGCACCGTACTCGCGCCGTGCAACCGGAACGACGAGGGATTGGCAAGAAGACCCCAAGCAGCCAAATCTGGCCTTCAGAACACATCACGAAAAAGGCTTCGACACCGCCAGCAGCATCCACAACGGCCCACGTTGACGCGCATCGACTCCCCGGGTAACTCAAGGGGTCGGCGGATGTGGAGCAAGCCTAAAGAATCATAGCAGGAGTGGCCCCGAGAGGTCAGAGCATGAGGAGGGCGGGCAGGCCGCATGACTGATGCCGCCTGCCCGCCCCTCCTGCGACTTGAAACGTGCGATGCGAGAACAGTGGCGCCTCAACATAGTCATTCACGACCGAAGATGCCTGCCAAAGGTATCAGAACGCAGCTTGTTGCGCGAAAGACAACCCATATCGAATACACACGAATGGGCGAGTCCGCTTGTCCCAAACTGTGACGCCCACGCACACGCAGTGGCGCATGAAACGGTGGATGTCCCTATGGGGCCACGAAGCGCTGTACTGGGCGGGGGAGCCGCATGCGGACGGTTCCACTAGGGCCCTCGGTGGAGGCCCCTATAGTGCCACGAAGCGCTGTACTTCGTGGGGGGGGACGCATGCGGAACATGCCAATGCGGCCTTCGGTGGAGATCCTTATGGGGCCACGGAAATCTGTACTGGGCGAGGGGGACGCATGCGGACGGTGCCACTGGCGCCGCAAGGGGAGCTCCCCATGGGGCCACGAAACGCTGTACTGGCTGGTGGGGACGCATGCGGGCGGTAGCACTTGGACCTACGGTGGAGCTCCCTATGCGGCCACGAAGCGCAGCACTGGGTGGAGGACGCATGCGGGCGGTAGCACTGGGGCAGTCGGTGGAGCACGAAACGCTGTACTGGGTGGGGGGGACGCGTGCAGGCGATAGCACTGTGGCCGCCGGTGGAGCTCCCAATGGGGCCACGAAGCGCTATACCGAGCGGGGTGGACGCATGCGGGCGGTAGCACTGAGGCCGTCGGTGGAGATCCCTATAGGGCCACGAATCGCTGTACTGGGTGGGGGGGACGCATGCGGGCGGTAGCGCTGGAACCTTCGGTGGAGCTCCCTATGGGAACACGAAACGCTGTACTGGGTGGGGGGACATATGCCTGCGGTAGCACTTGGACCTTCGGTGGAGCTCCCTATGCGGCCACGAAGCACTGTACTGGGTGGGGGTGGACGCATGCGGGCGGTAGCACTGGGACCTTCGCTGGAGCTCCCCATGGGGCCACGAAGCGGGGCACTGGGTGAGGGGGACGCATGCGGGCGGTAGCACTGGGACCTTCGGTGGAGGTCCCTGTGGGGCAACGAAGCGCTGTACTGGGCGGGGCGGCGCGTGCAAGCGGTAGCACTGGGGCCTTCGGGGGAGCTCCCTATGGGGCCACCAAGCGCTGTACTGGGTGGGAACGCATGCGGGCGGTAACACTTGGACCTTCGGTGGAGCTCCTCCCTACGCGGCCACGAAGCGCTGTACTGGGTGGGTGGACGCATGCGGGCGGTAGCACTTGACTCCCTATGGGGCCACGAAACCAGTGAGGGGTGAGCCAAAGTGAGGGTGAGGGGAGGAGGGAGGAGGGGAGGAGGAAGGAAGGAGTGAACGCGGGGCGCTGTCTCTTCAAAACGAGGACCCAACACCACAGGATGATTGGGACCAATTGTTTCACTCGTATTCTGGGCGCCAGCATGGTGCCATAGAGTGCGAAACCACACATGGGTGACACGTGTCACCCCGAAAACCGTGTGAACAAAGCCAACTGTTTCACTCGCATTCTGGGCGCCAGCCTGGGGCCATATAATTACAATGAAACCACACAAGGGTGACACGCGTCTTTCCGAACACCGCTTGAGAAAGAACAGCTGCTTCACTCGCATTATGGGCGCCAACCTGGGGCCCGACGGTGTGAAGCCACACAACGGTGGCACGCGTCACCCCGAAAGCCGCGCGGGGCAAACCGCCCGGTGCCCTTGCACTCCAGGCCCACGCGGAGCGAGCCTGCGCCAGGCGAGCCCGCACGCGAGACCTGGGCCTGTGCCGCCGAGCCATAGCTCCCTCTGGGGGCCACGGACCGCGCAAGGGGTGTGCCCAAATCGGTGGCGTGGACGCATGCGGCCTGTGCCGCTGGGGAGAGCAGAGGCGAGGAGGTGGGAGGAGGGGGGAGGGAGCAGCGGGGAGGGAGGGAGGGAGGGGCAGCGGGGGGTGGGGCGACGCGGGGCGCTGTCGCTTCAAAGCAGGCCTCGCGGAAGTCTGCTCCTCTGCGTGGCCAGTCCTGGATACCGATGACCCTTGCAGATTCCAGCGAACCCCGAATCATGATGATTGTTGTTATTATCATTATGATTAGTAGTACTAATAATATTATTACTACAATTACTGCTACGATTATCATCGCCATCCTTAGTATTGATATTTTACTACGACGATGCTTAATCATACGATTAATACTTTTCTCCCTACACCCTTGCGCACGCCGCCAAAAGGGGGCGGGGCGGTGAAACATTTGCTGCACGCTGGCGCCACCACCCGTGCAAAACAGAGCAGGTGGCACACCGTCGGGGCCGTGCGCCGCGGCCTGAGAGCGATCTCGTGACCTTGCAAAAAGCCACGGTCGCAGGGCGCTGCAATGACTCCCGGCGGCAACGCTCGACGACCCGCCGCGGGTGCCGCGCCGGAGGCCGAGTCGGGATACAGGTCGGGCGGGAGGACTATGCGAGACTGGAGCCGCGAACGCTCAGATAAGAGCGAAGAGGCTGAAGAGGATTCTTGAGTTCGCAGTTCTGAACGCCGCCAAGAAGGGGAGCGGCGGTGAAACGTTTGCTGCACGCTGGCACTGGCGCCACCACCCGTGCAAAACAGAGCAGGTGGCACACCGTCGGAGCCGTGCGCCGCGGCCTGAGAACGACCTCGCGACCTTGAAAAGGCCACGGGCGCAGCGCGCTGCAGTCACTCCCGGCGGCAATGCTCGACGACCCGCCATGGGTGCCGCGCTGGTGGCCGAGCCGGGATACAGGTCGGGTGTAGAGGTGAGGGTGGGTGGACAATGCCAGACTGTAGCCGCGAACGCTGCAGATAAGAGCGAACAGGCTCAAAAGGATTATCGAATTCGCAGCTCTGAAGACTAACCAACTGTTGTTGATCCCCCCTGCGCGGTAATCGAAGAATCCGAGAGGGCCTCGTGGTTGAGGGCGGCGTCCCTCGCGAGGTCGCCCACCTCCTGCCTCAGGACCCTCGCGTGGGAAGCCGCTTGCTCCTGCACGGTGCCCGGCCGACGCGTCCGACGCCATCTGGGCCACCATCCCGAGGAGCTCGTCCTGGCGCATGGCAGAGGCCTCCGCCGGCGACTGTCTCTCCTTCGAGGCCTCCGCCATCATGCTCCCGATCTCAGTCCTGGAGTCGCCCCAGCGGCCCAGCCGAACGTTGAGCTCACACCCCAGACATGCGACGTCCTGATTTTTCAGGACGGCGTCCCGGGAAATCCAGACCCTTTCCCTGGGGCCGGTTTTTCGGTTTTTCACCCTGAGTCGTTTTTTGACGTTCCCGAGGCCGGGCGAGGGCTCCCAGGGGCCGAAAACAGCGAAAACCTCCCGTCCTGATTTTTCTTGTACGACGCCATCATGTCTGGGACCAGAGGTCGTGGACGGCCTCCGCGGCCTGGCCTCGCGGCAGCGCGCGCGCGCCAGGGCCCGAGGCCGACGAGACGCTGCTGCTGGCTGGGGGCGGCCTCTCCTGCTGCTCGCCGCCGCGGGCGCGCCTGCTGCTCCTCGCCACAGCGGGCGCGGGGCTGGGGTTAGGTTTGTGGATGCCACGACAATGGACACCCTGACAGTCCAATCCTTGAACATAAAATGTATTCACCATGTCGGAAAAAGTGTTCTAAACATGTTGCAAACATGGTTTTGCATGTTTAGAACATGTTTTCTACATGTTTTAGACATCTGGAAATGACTTGGAAACATGCTTCCTCTCCATTGATCGTCCTCCACCAGGTTAGGTAGGGCATGTCCCCTGCAGGCGGATTTCGGACGAACAACTAGACATGCCCCACAAATATCCAAACTAAAAAACAATCCAAAAATCGCCGCCACACTATTGTGTGTTTGACTATTGTTGCAGACTCCTCCTGCAGAGGGACAGGCCCGACTTAAGGCTGGGAGCTCCTGCGACAGACCCGCCGCATGGAGTTAGAGAACGAAGAATGACATGAACATAAAAACTCGGAGATCCGCGCGGATTTCTCGGATCCGTGCTGGACCCCCCTGGCGGCGCCTCCGGCGCCGCCCCTGGCGCGCTCCGCGCGCCAGGGAGGGGGGGTCCAGCGCCGATCCGGGAAATCCGCGCGGACCTCCGAGTTTTTATGTTTATGTCGTTCTTCGTTCCCCTAAGAGTGGCCCCGGCGCCACGGCGTCGGGCGCCGCGGCGGCGTCGGGCGTCTGGAGCTGCATGGGGCGCCGCTGGCGGCCTGGCCACGCCCTCGCTGGCCGCCGCCGGGCCGCCGGCCCGCCGGTCGCTGCCGGGCGGCGCCCCGCGTTTTCCGGAGTGGGCTGAGCAGCGCGCCGCTGGAGGCAAAGAGATTGCGGAGAGAGAGAGGGGATGGAAGACAGGGGAGGGGGGAAGGGGGAAGGAGGGGACGAGGGAGGGTGCAGGAGAGCTGAGGACTGATACAGCTGCGGGGGGAGTGCGGGGGAGGAGGAGCGGACGTGGAGAATGGGGGGGGGAGTGAGGGAGGGGGGCGGGTGAGAGAGACGGAACGGGAAGGTGAAGAAAGTATTGAAGAAAATGTGCGATTCATGCTTCCTCGAGGCATGGCAGCCTGTAAGCAGAGGCTGTGTTGGCATATCGGCCCCACCGCGTAATCATTGCCATCAGCATCGTATCCGCAACTCCTCCAGATTTGGCTCCAACTAAAAACTCCTTGGAAACTAGCAACAAGATATCGTTTACGCTTCGCGGGTCCCTGCCAGCCCAGTCAGAAGCCCCGCCCACGAGAGCTGACAGGAAATGGAAAGCAGAGACGCATATGGTGAAACAGAGCGTTAAAAGAGAGGAGGGGGAGGAACGTGTTGAGCAATGTTTGTTCCTTCTTTGCTGCCATCACCCCTTCTACAATCACACAATAACAAAACATCTGGGCCAATGCGGATGCATCAAACCGTGGCGCGTGCGCATCCCCATATGACCGAATGGCCATTCATATAAACGGGCATCACACCACCGCAATCAAGGAGCCACAGCACGGCACAGCACGCAGCCACTAGTAGGAACAGTCCCCGCATCCTAATTAGCCCCCTAACAGCTGATATACTCGCAATCGCTAAATCCACACGCTCGGAAGGCCCGCGAGCACGGATGAGACATAGCAGTGCTATAAATCTGGGTGCGAAGCACGCGCCAGACACTGGATGAACTCGGGCGGCCTCTGAGAGACCACGCCTCGCGGAAGACACTGTGCAAACCTCAGGCGGGCCACAGAAATCCATGGCGGCCTGCAGAATTGGGCAGTGCTGGGCGAGGAAGCGGCTAAAACGTGTCTGGAACCATGCGCCCGAAACCGGGCGGGCGGACACCCCTGACACGAGACAGGGGACGCACAGTCCGAGGTGTGGGAGCGCGGGCAGCAGCGGTGACACGAATCCCCTGTCATCGTATCAGCGCAACGCGCAGAACAAGAGGGAGGAGGAGGAGGGGGGGAGGGGAAGGAAAGGAATGAAGAAGCGGCGCGGGCACTCACAAGTAGTAGAAGAACAGGTGGGAGTACAAGTAGACGTAGCACGTGTGCTGGTAGCCGACCCCAGGGTGAGTGGAGGCCAAGGGGTGCCTGGGGACGGGTACCGCTGCACCGGAACGCCCAGGAATCCAACTGCGCAACATCCCGCACCCAGGCTTTGCATTGAATTCTGCTTCGCCGCGCCGCACTGGCGCCAGAGCTGGGGTTGGAGACGGAATTGGAGGAGCTGGAGTCGGAACCGGCGTTGGCGCCGGGGTTGGTGGCGGCTTCGGCGCATGCGCCAGGTGAAACGGAGGCGGAATCGGAGCCAGCCAAGGAGCTGGAGTCGGAGTGATGATGCTGTTGCCTGAAGCGCTGGTGGAGAGAAGTATGCCGGTGGCTGTCCTGGTCGGAGCGGGAGTCGCTTCTTTTGTTTCCATTTCGTCGATTGCCACCGCTGCCAGTCCCCCTCGTCCTCCTTCCCCTCTCTTCCTGTCTTCTTCGGCGGCGAGTACGGCCTAAATCCACGGATCGGCCGGTGCAGCCAAAATTTGTACAATGGCCCCGGGCTTGCACCAGCAGGTCGGAGCGGGAGTCGGCAGTCGCTTGGTCCAGACCTCCCGGGGGCGTGGTCGGTGATCTGGTCGATGCGGGAGTCGGTGTGCTGGTCGGAGCGGGAGTCTGTAACCGTTTGGTCCAGACCTCCCCGGGGCGTGGTCGGTGAGCTGGTCGATGCGGGAGTCGGTGTGCTGGTCGGAGCGGGAGGCGGTAACCGTTTGGTCCAGACCTCCCGGGGGCATGGTCGGTGAGCTGGTCGATGCGGGAGTCGGTATACCCGCTTGGTCCAGTCCTCCCGGGGGCGTGGTCGGTGAGCTGGTCGATGCGCTGGTCGGTGTGCTGGTCGGAGAGGGAGTCGGTAACCGTTTGGTCCAGACCTCCCGGGGACGTGGTCGGTGAGCTGGTCGATGCGCTGGTCGGTGTGCTGGTCGGAGCGGGAGGCGGTAACCGTTTGGTCCAGCCCTCCCGGGGGCGTTGTCGGTGAGCTGGTCGATGCGGGAGTCGGTGTGCTGGTCAGAGCGGGAGTCGGTAACCGTTTGGTCCAGACCTCCAGGGGGCGTGGTCGGCGCGCTGGTCGATGCGGGAGTCGGTGTGCTGGTCGGAGCGGGAATCGGTAACCGTTTGGTCCAGACCTCCCGGGGGCGTGGTCGGTGAGCTGGTCGATGCGCTGGTCGATGCGGGAGTCGATGTGCTGATCGGAGCGGGAGTCGGTAACCGTTAACCGTTTGGTCCAGTCCTCCCGGGGGCGTGGTCGGTGAGCTGGTCGATGCGGGAGTCGGTGTGCTGGTCGGAGCGGGAGTCGGTAACCGTTTGGTCCAGATCTCCCGGGGGCGTGGTCGGTGAGCTGGTCGATGCGGGAGTCGGTGTGCTGGTCGGAGCGGGAGTCGGTATTTGGAGGCTATCTTGGAGCATCGGAGGCCTTCTTGGAGCTATGAGGCTTTGGGGGGGGCGTCTTGGGGTTATCTTGGGGCTCCTTTGGGGCTCCCTTGGGGCATCTTGGGGCTCTTTGGGAGGTCTTGGGGTGCTTGGGGCTCTTTTGGCGAGTCTTGGGGCCCTCTTGAGGCTCTTGGGGGTCTCATGGAGCTCTCCTGGGAGCTTCGAAGGGCCTCCTGGGGGCATCTTGGAGTCCATCGAAACAATGAGGGGGGGCGAAATTTGCCTTCCCCATCCAGGGCCATCAAAATAGCCTCTCGGGGCGCTCTTGGGGCCCTCTGGGGGCGATATTGGGCGCTCTTTGGGCCGTCTTGGAGGCCTCTTGGGCCATTCCTTCTTGGAGCTCGCTTAGGCCATCTTGGTGCCATCTGGAGGCCTCAAAAATGCATCAGAAGCGAAAAGGCAAGAAGGCCAGAATCATTGGTTACCCTAGGTGTTTGAAGGATTTTGGCTTCTCGGGGAGGTCCTGAAGGGGTCTCCAAAAGCACTTGGATTCGTCTTGTGGCCTTTTTGAGGCCTCGTGGAGGCATGTTGTCAGCTATCTTGAGCCATGTTGGGCTATCTTGGGCGATCTTGGATGCCATCTTGGGCTCTCTGAGGCCATCTTGGAGCCATCTTGGGCCGAAAAAACCCTCTGACCGCTCGCGGAGCCCCCGGTAAAGGTACACGGGGAGGGGGTAGGGTGTCAGTGGAGCGTGCTATTCCACGGATCTCAGCCTTTCGCTTCGAGATGTCCTCACAATCTGAAAGGGGCCTGAACCTATGTCCACGAACGTGTCCTAAAGACGAGTCCAGGATGCTCTCAGGGTCGGCGGAGGGCACGCAGTGGCGGAAGATTGGCGGGATGGCGAGAAGAGAAAATATATACTCCGTTTAATAATCAATCCAGGATATCGCGTCTGGCCCCCCTGAGCTCCGCACCGAAGTGAGATACTGTAAATCACCACACGGGCTAGCAAACAGCTTGCGCCAAAGTTGCTATGGACGAAACAGGCAAATGGGCTCATTCACTGAGGGTTGTTCTCCCTCTCTGTTCTTACTGCACCTGTTTCACTGCTCTCCCACTGAAACTGACATGCCCCGAACCGTCAGTGCGAGTCCTCAGTCTCTAGCTCAGGTAAGACACTCCATGTGTAGTCCATCGTGTATAACTCCATCTTTATTGAGGCGTCGCGT